CTGCCAACTCCTGTGCTCAGATGGTCGTTCAGCCACAGCGACGTAAGTAAAGGAATTGACCAATACATGAAGGAGTGCTGAGCGGAAGTGAACCCTGAAAGAATGCACTTCGAAAAGGTGTGACAAACGCAGGATGGAGGTATAGAAGTTGCTGAAGCCTTGCAAAATCGGTTTTCTTGCTAAGGCGAGCTGGTGAATATTGCAACACACTGAGAACAAAGGGCAAATGGTCTCATGGCCAAACTCCTGGTGTTGCTTCCAAACAGCCAATCTGAGCTGTTTCAACACGGCAATGTTAGTTGCCAAGGAGTCAAATGAAAGTGACACACCCTGAATCCTGACATCTTTGACCAAGTCCACTGGAATCTTCCAATCTGCAAAGCGGCTGCCAACTGATCCCAGAAACACGAAGAGTCTTGACAGGAATTCAGCACACAAACTGCTTCTATCAGTTTTTGGCAAGATGGCCGGCGCGGTGTGAATTTGAAAATGATCGTGACAAACTGCTGCAGGCTTGTCTGTAGTAGCAGTAGTAGGATCCACATATCCCAGAATGAAACACTGGCAGTTGTTCATGATAGAGACAATGCGAGACATCTTCCAATGGGATACACCAGGAACAACGCTTGATAACCTCATGTTGCAATCATCGATCACAGAGGTTGTTAGTGTGTGGCTGATTCTGGAAGAACGGCGTCTCCGTCCAACTGCGTGGGTCAAAGCTGGGCCCCATGCCTGTAAATAACTGCAAAGTAGTCGGCACCGACGTGCCCGATTTGCACCTGGTTGGATCAAAGTGTTGTCAGCTTTGATATCCTCTCTGTAGATATTGGCAGGATGGTCTGGAAATTGAAGGACAGCGTTGGACGCCAACCGCCGCTGAGCCTTTGCTGTGATTGCTGCTGCTCTGGCCTTTGCTGTACGAGCCCTCCTCATAGCTGCTTGACACTCTCCGGTCTCTTTCTGGCCTGTGGAACTGGAACTGTGTGAGCTGACATTGACTGAATCCAGTGAATCGGACAAAGCTTGCAAATTCTCAAGCCCTGAACTGGACGTTGATTCCTGCGATCCAGATTCATTGGCACTTTCTGGACCTTCTGGATCATCCTCTGACTCTGACTCGACCAGGTTTAGTGGCATGGCAAGGGGGCAAGCGAAGCATTAAAAAGGACTAAGAGTCGTGAGTCTTGTTTTTTTGGTTGCTGGTCTTGTTCAATCATCTAAACCAATCTGTTTAATGAATGATTCTGACAAATGATTCGTCAATATCGAAGGAAGAAAGCAACCGAGTCCCTAGTACATTTATAATTTATTCAGTCAATTCAGTCACATCTATTTAGTTGAAAGAATGCCCAGCTCTCGAGCCGAGCTCGACGTCTCAACCTTCCCACCCATCATCCAGCTAGTACTGCCACGTCGTAGCAGGTCTTCGGTCTTTGGTTAAGTTCAACCCATTTCAATGACCAATTGCCTGCCAACTGCCAACTAGCAAGTGCAGTACACAATATCGAGTTCCCTGGTGTTCCCTTGGAAAATGCCATCAGCTACTGAGTAGTGTGAGCTCATTGCAGACCCCCCCTGCTGCCTCTCCAAAGTTCCAGACACCCTGCCCTGCCTCATATACATCCCATGGTGGAGGCAATGGATTCTTGAACTTCTTCAGCACACCCCATACCTTGGTTTGGCCGGCAAGCTGAGCTCAGCCAGACGAAGAATAAGTGCTGAACCTGCCCCACATGATCTTGAGTCATTGTGGGCTGTGAAGCAGCCCTGGAAACTTTCACTCTACTACTACTGCTATTGGCTACTAGAGACTAGAGACTAGTGACTAGACTCTCTAGAGTCACTACTACAACAATCGCCGAAATGCTGGCCAAAGTGGCTTCCTCTATGATCAGTGCTTTGGGGTTGCGCCGACGCAGCAACTGCAAGCAGCTCAATATGACATCAGAAGTCGGCCTTGGCCGAGTTTCCAAAATGAGGGGACAGGCCTGATTCCTGATAAATCTGACAAATTCTGCAAATTGAGATGTGAACCAATCCAAACTCACTAATCGCAGTCGCTTACAAAAACCAAAACGTAACCATACCAACTAGCAGTAGCCTTGCCCTTTTCCCTTACACGTACACTGCACACGCTCGCTTTCCCTCGCACTCTTCGGAACTGTTGATTCAAGAAGAAAGCCTGTTATAACTGTTATAGGCTCTAGTTCTAGATTCCAGGCTCTAGGCAATTCAATTCCAAGGCTTCATGCTAACTTTCTTCTGCGCAAGAAGAAGTCTTCTATTAGGTTTCATTCGGACTCCTCACTCTGCACCATCCAAGTACAAAACTAGGTCAGCTGGTCCATTGGCCGAGGAGCTGTGTGAAGGGATTGTACATGGGTTCTGATTGTTTGGGGTTCAAACCGCTGAACAATGGGCACGGTATTCCAATGATCCCCAGGTCAGAATCATCGCTATCCTTAGTCCACGTGTGTGTGTGACTCTGACCGTGTGAATCTACACAACTGTGGCCTGAGTGTGTAGGGAGTCAAGGCCAATAGTCATAAATATGATGAAAAGTAACGGTAAAGGTGGTGTTCAACTTCAACCTCAGCCTGGACCTCTGGAGCAGCTCAAGTTCTGATCAAGATTCGGCATCCGGTGAGTGCCTAGCCTCACAGATGTAGCACCAGCTCGGGCCTTTCTCCGTCACGTCGCTGTAAAAGTGCCTCCCTTAGCAAAAAGGTTGTAAAAATGTAGAACGTAAATGTCAACTTGGCTCACACTCTACTGGCCACTGAGAGAGAGAGCGAGAGAGGAATTAAACGTAGTTTTGAGCTTTGACTTGACTGTTGGCACTTCTGGAGACTGAAGGCAAGCAAAGCCTGAAGGAGGGCAAGAAATCAATAAAAAATAGAGTAGTCTCTGAACTCTGAACGGTCATCGCATCTCTTTCATGCTTGAAGGATTGTGCAGCATTGAAAGTTGAAACGCTGGCTGGCCACTGGCCCTCCCCAAACTGTGTGTAAATCAAACAAGGTGCAACATGGTGCAACCACCGTCATGAGACAGGCAATGATCACGGTTCCTTTTGTTGATCTCCGATGTGGAAAGCATCTGCACGGTGGCTCCAGAAAAGCTGGCAATGTGCGCCCTGGGGCCGTGCATGGAAGGCCGAAGGTCTTTTGTCCAGCTTTTTGTCTTGTCTCAACACAATTCCTGAAACTAGTTTGGCTATCAGTGCTGGTGGGCACAGCAGTGAGCATTGCCAAGGCAGCCAAGGTACATGATGTAGGCGACGGTGCCAGCTCCTTCACAGGCTGAGAAGACCCGGAGCCTGAAAGGGCAGGCTCAAGAGCCACCCACTCAAACAAGGATGGTGCTCAACTGCTCAACTACACGATGTGTGACCTGCATGAGTGAACAATCCTGAATCCTGATCCTAATCCAAAATTGTAATGACGCGCCGCTGCTACTGCTGTTGCTGCTACTGCCAAAAGGAAACAAAGTTTTGAGACTATTTGCGACACCTTTTGATTTGAGTGGATTCGACACCATGCCAAGAAGCTCTAATCCGTCAAGGGCTTTGGATGGAATGCCAGCATATTGGAAGTACCTTTGCTGCAGCGCGCCAGCCCACTTCTTAAACCGCCCCTTCACCTTCCCTGCTCCTGACTACCCACTTTACATCAACTAGCTTTTGGAATGAAATGAGGAGTGAATACTCAGGACTACTCAGGACTCATAAATAAACAAATGATATGATATGGGTTTTACACAGGGACCCTTTGTGCATGACAACGGTTCTTCCAAGGCACTTCGGAACCCAGCTTTGAGGAAACAATGTAAACTCTGGCAGGCCGATCTGGTCGCTAACATCCTCAAAACTTTGGCTGCTGTTGTACTGAATTTCTCAGTCTCGTTTACTGATTAGTATCATCCAACTTGACACAAACACTGTACTCACGGCTCACGTTTTGTTTCATTCTCTTTGATCCAAACTCCAAGGACTCATAGGCCCATAAGTCTCTCCAATGACTAGCTTTCAAGTGCAAGTCCGTTATGTTGTGTTGTGAATATCTGATGAAATGCAACCGAGGGTTCAACTGCAGACTCGTTGGACGTGCCGGATGGAAACTGAGTCGCAGTTTTGGAGGAGGAAGAGAGCGCCGAAGTTGTGCATGAGTCGGTTCCTTCCTGAGATGCTGCCCAAAAACCAAAAACAACTGCGCCAGATTACGAGCCTGGTTACCTGCTTGCCTGCTAAACCTGTTTCCAGGCTTCACTATATTGTGTGCAACTTGGAACTCTGGAGACCCGGGTGTGCACAACATGAAAAAATGGAACACGTTAAAAAGTGGACTGCAAGGCTCTTCATCATTGCAATCCTCCTGAACGCATCCAGCGTCTCCATCTGAATCACTGAGTTGCAGGTCCCAGGTGCTGAAGGCACGCTTCATTGGCACGGTCGGCAGGGTGATTTGGTGTTCTGATAGAGTCACAAAGTCACAAAGTGCAATGCTGCTGGATGAATTGCGTGAGTTCCTAGCTTTTGTGGCTGTTGTCGTGACTCCACATTGTGATCATTGTGCTTCCTGCCACATTCCTGCCTACAAAACTGCCTCAAGTGGAGCGAGCGAGCACCAACCAGTAGTCATCTCATCTAGATGAGTACACTCAAACATTGCTTTCAACATCAGTTCCTATTTTGCTGTGATGACAAACAGTTTTTTTCGACATCATTTCCAACATGATTTCTTACATGCTTGTATGACACCTAGAAACTGGACATGTGGTATGGCAGAAACCCTGGTTTAAAGAGGCTAAAATCAGAAATAAGCTATTTGTTGCAGTCGAAAAGGATGTTCGTCCAGAGTTCCATATGACTGAGCTCAATGCCTCCCCCTTCAGCGTCCAGATCAAGGAGTGGGCCCGGGACGGCCCTGGACGCATTCGCCGTGTTTCGCTACGATCGATCGGATACCACTGGCCCAATGAACCCTCCAGTTTCGCAGGGCCCAGGCAAGCGCAGTGGGCTTTGCTTGGGGGACCCGGATGGGCGGAGTGGGTGGGCGCTGACCACGAACGCCACATGGGCCGAAAAGACTTCCTGAGAGGCATTGGGGTCCAAGATGGTCAGTAACTTATCTTTTGAGGTCAAACTGGAGCTCCAGTAGGAATTGGGGATACTGTTTTTGAGGTTTGGTGAATGATCTTGATCGCCCGGAGGGGGATCAAGATCTCTCCTTTCGAGTCCGCCAAGCGAGACATTTGCACCGGCCAGTTCGTCGGCTTGTCTTTCAATATATCGAGACAGATGGCAGGAAATGCAGGACGCTGCCGCCCCCCAACAGAGACGCCTCTCCATGGATCGGAGAATGACTTTACTTTGAAACACCCTCAAGGCTTCTGATGGTTCGCTGCGACAAAACGAACATCGCACCACTGAGAGAATCGCCCGGACCGGGCGACCGCCGAGGTCAGTGCGCCCTGCAGTCACAGGAGCCGCTGCGGCGCCTGGTCTTCGGCGGTGTGGCAGACCATCGAGTCGTGGCCTGGGCATGAAGAAGGGCCTGCGGCAGTGCCGGCTGGGGTGGCTGGAAAGCGCCTAAAGATGCCTAATGCATTTGAGTATAGTTCAGCGTTTTGGCGCTGTCCATGAGCGGAATATCGTGTGAATGACTACATAGTATTTACAGAGTCTCCATGTCTTGTCAGGTGTGTGAAGGTGTGCTTTCGAGTCTGAAACTTCACACATGTTTGTCAGCCACCAGTTGATCACTTAGAGATGTTTGGAATTGAACAGTCGCTGGATGCAGTCATAGTCTTCGGACAATAAGATCTCAACGTTGAGAATTTGTCCGAAGGATCATCTTGGTCATCTATTTTGGTGCGCAGTATTATTCTTTTGGGTGTGCTGCAGGAGTTTCGTTGATCACTGCTTGAAAGGGTGCGTATGTTGGGTGTGCACCTTGGAAACTATCCTCACATGGAACGCAAGTCTTCTGACAGTGCCGTCCTGATGACACGGAACCGATGCGCGGACCTGGCTCCAGAAGTAGTTCACCACTCCTCAAATCCGCGGGTGTGAGAAAGACCTTCAATACCCGCTGTGTGTGTGTGTGTGTTTGTGTGCCAGTGGTAAACAAGGTCCTGTGTGGCTAGACAAGCTATACAGTGCATCCTTGCGTTCGTGATGGGTGGCAACCATCAAATACCCTCCAAGCCCGTTTGTGCATTGGTGGGAGAGGTGTTTTTGAGTCTGAACAGCTTGGATGTTCACTCCAGAGAGGGGCATTCAGAGGCATCCAGAGAGCGAGAGAGAGAGATTCCCTACACCTGTTCAACTACCTGTTCATTCTCCAAGACTTCTGGAGTCCAATGGAGTGTTTTTCTGCTGTGTTTATAATGTGTGTTGTTCTCATTACTAATTGACATCTACCTAGCACTTCCAAAGGGTGCCCAATGGAGACCAGTAAGTAGGGTAAGGTAGTCTATTGGACACCCAGACAGGATGACGCTGGTACATCTACTACATAATATCTACATAATGTACGTTACCTTCAGATACACACACTCCCATGGATCTATTATGCCCTCTCAGAAGGTGATTGAAGACACGTGTGTCCCTCACCAACCACCGAAACCACGTTGGACACCGTGGCCATTCCCAGTCCCAGGCGTCCAACTGGTCGGATGGCACCAAACGCGCAGCGGACGTGGCGGTGTTTCATCAAGATCTGTTCCTTCTGGACCGGACGTGGTCCGCGGACGTCGCGGGGAGCCGGACGTGGTGACCGCTGTGGTTCGCGAGGTGATGTGCCAAGGCCAGGTTGGAGGTGTCTTGACCTGCCAGCCGCCAGCCTTTGGCTGACTGGTGCGACTCGTAGGGAATGAGGGAAGGAGCCCTTCCCTGTTTTTCGATACCTGGTGGATTCTTTTGGATCCATTCCCTCATTCCTTACTAAGCACCAGTCAGTTGCTTGGAAACATGCGAATGCGATTGTTCTTGTCAACATATACCGTTTTGGTTGAAGAGTTTTTGCATGCATGATTGTTCTTGCTCGTGTTCATCCATGCTCCTCCTTTGAACGTGGTTGTTGTTCTGTTGTCAAAGGATCGTCCATGCTGAGGGAAACCTGCTTTGGCTTGCCCATGCCTTCACAACACTAATCAATCACAGAAAAGGGCATGGCTTTGCGCAGGTCCATTGAGAAATGATCACAGTCTTTGCAGGTCCCCCTCCAATATATATATATATATATATTCCTTCACTGCGTTCTCCACCTGCCCCGTCTTTCCCGGATGTGTCCACACCACCGACGCCCACGACGGCGTCGCGGGTCGCGGAACACCCGGGTCGCAGCCTGCCACGCATCGCAGGACTGCACCGGGACTCCACGCTGGACGTGCATTTGGCCACGGCCCGGTTCACAGCTACCGGCCTCTCCACAGGCTGAAACACAGCAGGGGCGTTTCAGGGGCGTGGGGCTGCGAGGCAGTGATTGAGCGGTTTTGTCCCACCCAGGTACCCTGTAGTTGACTGCTAGCCTTCTTGGATCTTTTTGCAGGGCATACAGATGAACAAATGTTCAGAGCATTTCACACAGCTTCCAGCGATATTGTCCAGCAATGTGCGAAATGCTTGTGGTTGTTGGCACAAACGGGGCCAATGGGGCCAAATGAACACGCACAGGATGTGAACATATATGAGCATGGTCCAAAACTATCTAAAGCTAGCCTTTACATCAGCAGTTCGTTTCACCCGGACATAAGAGCCACCGAAGCTTCGTCCATCTGCAGACTTCACCCATTGGGTTGAACAACCTGGCTCAGCAGGGACCGCATTCAATCGCAAGGTGGTAAGGGCTGTTACAGGGATGACAGGAGACACGCTCAACCTGATGACGATTGCCGCATGTATCGCGGCAGAATGCGGGTACGCAGCCTATGAAGTGGCGGCAGAGAACCATGAACCGCCAGACTCAAAGCCACCGCGCTACGAAGCAAAGAACACAGAGATGTCTCGAATCCTAGGATGTTTAAAGGATACAAAAGACGTCCCACCAATGTCACAGGCGCTATTGGGGACCAGGGCGTATGAAAGGTTGCCCTCATGATGCAGTTCCTACTGCCATCCGATTGCTCAGCCGAATTGCGACGGTCAGTTTCGCTAGGGTTCATGTGTTGGGAAACTATGCACGGCCAAGAGGAGTGACAGTGGAAGCAAACACAAGGGATGGGCTCATCCAAAGGGTCTTGGCAGTCTTGGGCCTGAACAAAAATCAAGCTGCAGAGAAGGTTATACTAAATCGACAGAGTTAAGCATGTTGGGGTCAATGGATATATGGGCAATTAACCGAAAGGTGTTTGCTCAAATGGCCCACATGGCCCGGACCATGGGAGGCCATCCAAACGTGCATCCGGTTCGAGTACCGCAAAGGTGCATCCGGACGGGGCTCGCGGACCCACTCGGGCCATCAAGACGGTTTTGGAACTCAACCGGCTCAGAGCAGTTGGAAGCCGCCGCCACCAGCAGATCTCGCTTCCAGCATGATCGCTTTTCAAAGAGGTCTCTGTCGGTGGAGGAAGAGACCAAACAGAGATACTCACCCTGTCGGGTCGCTGGCTTGAACCCAAACTGGAACTGCACCAGCACGAGGTCTGCGAGGCACCTTCGATCCTGCCACCTTCTGCAAGGTCTTCGGGAAGCTACGCGTCTCAGACTTGCTGCGCTTTCCTACTGGCTTGTACGAAGTGCCTACACCAAATGGCTAGCCGCTGAAACGGAGGCTTCTGAGACAATGATCGCTAGTCGCGACTTCACTGCCAGCAGCTTCGTTCTTAAAGCTTCAAGCCATGAGCCTAGAAGAGAAAATGAAACTCTTTCAGAAAAAGGGCTTCAAATAAGTGCGTGCCTTCTTGGATGGCCTCACCAAATGTCAAAGGGAGGCCCTTTGGCAAAGGTTTGCCAATGCAAGAACAAGTCTGAAAGACCCAGAGTCTGACAATATGTGGCAGGAGGTTGCCAAACGAAAGGGCAGGTGATCCAGCAAAGAAGGCCCTCTTGGGTGTCTTCTTGAAGCTGGGATGTGAGTTGAAAGGAAAAAGGGATGCTTGGCACCAGGAGCTCATCACCTACTCCCAGAGCAGTGGTTCTTTGTTTGCAAGCTTCTGAAAGCTTCTTGTTTTTTGTTATCCAGCTTCTTGAAAGGTTCAAGGGACTCACACAATGCTTTCTACTCTTGCGAGTTCTAGATTAAGGCCAAAAAACTAGATCATTGATGTGTTTCTTTCGTGTTTTGGTGATGATTTCGTTCTGCTTTTGGTACACTCTGCTTTACTGTTTAATGGCTTTTGAGGACTACCTGAAAACCATATGAAAATATTTATGTTTTTGTTATGATTCTTGAACACCTCCAAAATGTATAATATAGTTGTGTTTTTGTTATGGATTTGAAATACTCCTAAAAAACAATTATGTTTTCGTTATGATTTGTGACACTTCCAAAACATAGTTCTGTTTTTGCACGATTTTTGAATACTTCCAAAAAAAATATGCTTTTGTTATGGACAGTCTCAAACAGCAGCCAGCCGCCGCTAGCTAGCCGCTAGGGCAGGTGGCACTGAACCGGGCCCCCTGTTTGCTTGGCTGAGTCTGGGGCCTACACCAAAAACAGGTGCGCAGCAGGTCACTACCCTGGAAGCTCCTCTGCAGGGCAAGGGCAGTTGCCGCAAACCCCTGGCCTTTCCAAGCAAAAAGGACCCGGGAACCGGGAACCATAAGAATTCCATAACGCAAAATCCTTGATGATCTGAAACCATAAGAAAATCATAACACAATCATGACACAAATGTCATATCAAAATCACAACAAATTCAAACGGAATCATAACAAAATCAAAAACCAAATTCAAAAATCAGAAAAAGAAACATTGGCCTGGGAAATGGTTTTATGAGTGGTTTTATGACTTGTTTTATGATGTTCATCCGCTGGGCTGAGGTGGTCTCACACTGGCTGGGTCACCTGTGAAGTTTAGAGTATCAGATTTGAGGTCGTAGAGTCTAGAGTCTAAGAGGCTGAGCTCAAGGTCTTCTAGTCACTCTAGTCTTCGGCTCTTGCGACATGTTTCTCAACAAACCAAACTTGATTTCAATGGAGGATTGCCAAACTGTTGCTGCAAGTGAACCCCTGCAATCAGCTCAGCTCAACTTTCCTAGCCTAGCAGCAGATGCTAGCCGCTAGATCCTAGCCCAGAAGCTGGGCAAACCTGGCTGCAAAGCATAGTTATGTGTTTGCTATGGAAAAAAATACTTCAAGACAAAAGTATTGCAGAACACAAATCAAGCTCGACACCCCATTTGCAACCCAAAAGGCCCTGCATATGTGAAATTGGAGACCTCCAAGGGCATAAGAAAACCATAACCAAATCATATCCAAAAACAAACACAAAAAAAAACAACAAACATTTAAAACACAGTTTAACCAAATCATATCGAAAACATAGCAAAACCATATCAAAATCATAAAAGAAAATAGACTTGAAATTGATGTTTGTGGCCTATCTCCACACAATTCTACTCCATTGTGTGGATGAGTTCAACATCAGCTGGGCACGAGAAACTCGGGGCGAGTGAGGCGCTCGATCGATGGGGGTGGGATGGGGAACGTCTCCGAAGAGTCCATCTCTCATTGGGTCATGGCAGCCGGAACCCTATACACCCAACAGGTTGACTTCCTGTGTACCCGGTAGGTTGAGCTCCTTTGGTCACCCATAATGGACGCATTCCAGAAAAGGACCACAGAGTTCGAGGCGGGTGCTCAGAGACTCAATCTATGGACTCCATCACGGCGTCGACGTCCGTCGACCTGCCAGGCCTCCGTGCTTCCGGAGGAACTCTTGGCGCGCGGCGGCGGCGCCGACGCAGCCTGCTTAGCGTTGGCCATCCACCAAGGCGGAGCGTTGGCCATCGGTCAGTGCGGTGGGGTGCGAGGCGAGTGAGAAATGATATGCCTAACTATAGGAATGTGTGGGGAGTGAGTAAAGCTTGGGGGGGAGTAGGGGGGATGATCCTAAAGGATGTTACTTGGATATGTCCAAAGTAGATAGTGCGCAAAGGCTCACTGCGGATCCCACAAACAGTAACAGTTTATAGATATATATATATATGTATATATATATATGGAGCGAAGACACGTAGAAGGTTGCTCGGGAGTGTCTTTGGTATATGATGCATTTGGCCCTTGTTGACAGGTTGTCAAGTGGAAATTGGCCACTTGCAGACCTTCAGAAAAAATGCATATGTCATATCATATCATCACTGTTCTTTCCCAGCGACGCGTAAACCTTCTGACTTGAGGACGTACCAACAGAGGTTGAAAGACCCTATAGGCTATCCCATAGGTACCCCTGTAGTGTCCTATAAGGTCACTTAACCTCTGTTGGTACATCGTGATCCTCGATAGGTCCTTCGATGTCCTCCTCAAGGGTTCCCGACGACGTGGAAATGGCTCTCCTTTCCCAACGGGCAGGCGACCCCACGGGCGTCTTGCATATCCCCAGCACTGCCTCAGGCGCCAAAGCGAAGAGTGGCGAGGCAGCGCGCCAGGACCGGGCTGAAGCCCGATGCGTCCGCTTCGTCGAGTCGCCGAGTTCGTCGTCGGTCCGCATGGTCAGTTCGTCGTTTGTGGTGAAGCCGTGAAGAACGGGAAAGTGAAGAACGGGAAAGTGAAGAACGGTTTTTGGAGTTCAGTTGGGGGGGGGAAGTTCAGTTTGTCCGCTGAGACTCTGATTCTTTCCTTTTTGGAATGCACACCGCTTTCGCTAAGTATAAAGCTCAGCAGAGGTTCGTCCAACTGGCCCAAAAGACACTGTAGATACCACTGCAGCCACATAAAGTCATTGTTTCAGAGAAGAACAATCAAGAGGAATACTGTCACAGAAACAAGAAGTTTGGATATGTTGCTGGGAGAAAGGATTGCTTTGGGTGTTTCTTGATATCTAGCGTTTTCTAGGTGATGGTTTCGGATAATTTTAGCTTTCAACCGTTACTTGGGACGATTGAACCCACTGACAATCTTTGTTCAAGTAGGTAGAAACCACTGACCAGTTCCATTCCAAAGCCAGGCCTTCGAACACAAATCCTTCGCTCTCCGCCTTGTCACTAGGCGCCTCGTGGACGCATGGCTGCTGGCTGTGTTGTCGCGAAAGGCGCCGAGCGGCTGGCCGTTGAAGGGTGCAAGTGTCCAAAGTGAACCGTCTCACTTGTGGAAACGGTTTCTAGTAGCTTCTTGTTACTTGTAGCGATGCCCTTGTTACTACTGTAGTAGCTGGAAAACGTGAGGAAAGGACTGAGAAGACTTACCCCAGTCATCCCCAGTCCATGAACAGTTCAACGGCATGTGTCAGTGTTTCTTGGGGTTGTTGGGGAGGGCAGGTTGGCTACGAAGTATGGTGGTGTTTGGGTAGTGAGTCTGGAGACATAGATGAGAAAGGTTGTGTGTGTGTGTGTCACTTCTTGATGTTGAGACGAACACCGACCATATTATGTTCAAGTAGATCAGCGTATATTGAAGTGATGCAGGCTTCATGACAAGACATGCCAAACATGATGAAATGTCCTTGCTGTCTTGAATTGATAATGTATAGGTCCAATAGGTTTCATGACAAGAGATACCAAATAGCATGAAGAAATCATTGCCCTTTCATCCTCCAACAAAGAGGCGATTTGATCCTCACCTGGTTCCAGGCTCCTTCTGGGTCTTCGGCGGTGCCTGTGAGTCAGGGCCAAAGCAGGAGGCGGACAAAGCGGACGGCACAACAGATTGGAAAAAGAGAATGGAAAACTGGAGTTTACTTCTTTGCGGGAGCCTGATATCATATCCATTGGGTGTTGCAAAAGAGAATGAAAGCCATGCTTTTGGATTTGGGGGAGATGTTCAGGAAGTACGAAGAGGGGAGCGGAAAATCCGGAGAGCCCAGGGATAGTTTCAAGAAAAGTCTCTGTTGCCTAAGCTTCTCACTTTTACCCTGATAGCAGTTGTTGTCTCCAGGCAAGCTTGATCAGACATACCTTCTCAACCTAAAATGTGTCCAAGGAACCAAGATCCGACTGTCCCACACAAAGGAACCAGCCCGGACACTCCCCTTTTCGGTCCCACTTGCTGGATCGATGTAATTGCGAGGATCTTGCACCGATTCCACTAGGTTCATCGAATGAATCCGGCAAAGACAGGGGACCGTCAACGGTGCAACGCTGCAAAAAAATTGTCAGCTCAGACCAACGTGGTGTCCGGATCACGTGGTGGACACCACTTGGGTATTGCACCAGGTGAATAGATAGTGGTTTCAGAGTAGATAGCACAATCCCCCAAGTTAAGGTGGTTTATATGGACCCCCATCCAAAAGACGTCTTAGGGGGTTGTGCCATCGAACCTCTCAAGCCATTGTAAATCGTTGTTCTGTCCTGGGTGAAGTTACTCCGCTTCTTTCAGACTTGCTATTGCTTCTTCCCCCCGGAATCGCACCGGACCGTGCAATCGCACCCATACGGGGCAGCTGTGATCAGCTGCAAGACGCTGCGAGCCCTCTTTTTCCACCCAATCCCCGTTATGTCTTCCTTTCAGAAACTGAGAGATCCTCAGAAATGTGACATCATCATCACGGAGGGGAGAAGAAAATCCGATGGTGGCCTTGGTTGAAGAAGGGAATGGAGAACCCTTAGATTCCCTATAGATACCATGGGATACTTTGAAATCACCGAACGTCGAACGTGGGTTGTATTGTTCCCGAGCTGCTGCACTATGCAGGTGACGCTCGATGACCTTTGGCGCTTGCCTTTGACCTGTAAGAACCAGGACTGGATTTGTGCTGCTAGCAGCAAGAGCTCGAGCTCGGCTAAAAAGTCCAGGGGGATCTTTTGCTTTGAGAGGGTGGCCTATACCTAGATCCACCTGGTGGACGAAAAAAGTGCCGCTTTCCATGGTGGCCAAAAAATTTGCCACCAGAGTGGAAAATTGCCGTCGTCCAAAAAAAAACGCCACCAGAAAAACAAAACGCCACATTCCATATATGGGGAAGGATGGTGCATGTCTCCTCCACGCCAGGCTCAAGGATACTCAGTTAGCTCCCCCAAGTAACACGAGGTAGAGACCAAACCCTCACACTCACCTCCACGATAACGTCATCGCAACCCCAAATCCCTGACCGCTCTACGATTCCCATTGCCAAATTTACCAACTATACCCAACTTCTGGTACTCAGGGTCATTCTCCAAGGTCATTGTGCAAGCTCTGACAATTGACCACCTCCTAACAAGAGTCTTTGTGCTCATGTGTATGCTACACCCTGATAAGCCAAGCAATCTCAGTGGTCCATGGGTGACAAATGTTGCCAACATGATTACGGGAATTTACGCGGATTTACGCCGCCATTACGTGGATTTACGCCGCCAATACGCGGATTTACGCCGCCATTTTTTCCGGCAAATTTCGCAAATTTCTCGCAACACGTATGAAACTCAAGAACATAATTTCAATTTTTGTGTTGAATGCTTATCAATCTCTTTCAGGGAGCTTGGTACTCTTCCGGAACGACTAGCCGTTTCGAAGCTAAAACATAGTTCAAGCACTGCGCCAATTCCGCATCTTCCCAAAGGTTACCGGTCGGTATGTTGACAAGAAGTTCACACATTTGGGGTGCGTTCATCAACCTTCGGGGTTTGACGCGACTATACCCAACTATACCTAACGAAGGGCACAAATCACCCAACTATACAGCTTCGAGCCAATTACGAAAAATTAAACGCCGCCGCAAAATCAAGAAACGCCGCAGCTTTACAATTTACGCCGCCGTACGGTAAAAGGCAACTTTTTTGGAAAAGTGCCTCATACGAAGATCTAGGTATGGCCCATCTA